GTGAAGTTGCATCGTGGTATAATTCGCATTTCAATACTATTCACAATTTTCTCTCACTTAATAATCAATAAATTAAATACAAGATGTATCCACCTGTTTTATTTTATACCAAATATGTCTAGATTGCCAAACATACATGTGGTACACAGAGGATTTTCCTGGGCTTGATTGAAACCTATACTGCACACTGTATGTATAATTGTGGACACCGAAATAAACAGATCAAGAAAACTGCCACCTTCCCTGCAATATTCTGACGCTCATTTGCACAAGTCTTTGTACATATGTCATAATTAAAATTCCACACGTCTTTTTAATGCATAACTACCTTTTAAATGTACCCTTAAATACATCATATGGAGGAAATGATTGTGTTCAGGAGCGTTAACTTGGTTAAAGAGGAAGTTAACAAAGCTATAACAAACGCCACTGGAAATTTCTTTAGGAATGTTGTTGATGGGTATTTTAGTGGCCGTTTTAAATGAAACTGAACTTCCAAGGATACTCTACAGTACTGCAACTGTTTACCATCAATGTGTTAGGTTGATGTGGTACTGGATCTGTCTCGGCACAGAAATAAACTTCTGTATAAATGGCACATGTACTTGTAAACTCAACATTATACCGACACCCCCCCTAATGTTTTATTTAACGCAACCTTTTCACACTTTCACAAAACCATACATGTACACAATCTGTTTATCTAAATCTAGTATGGTTCATGGAAAATTAGTTAAGTATACTTTTTTATATGAAGCCCAACTTAAGTATGACCACAGATTAAACTTACTAGTCACATCTTCTTTAGGAATTTCATTGGAATCGGTTAACTTAGTTACAGTTGGTGGTAATGTAGCTATAATTTTCAGAGAAAAAAAAGCATCATAAATGAACCTTATTACTGGCTTGTTACTTAATACCTGCACAGATTTTCTTAATATTTTATTTGCTCAAATGAGAGGATATTTAAGCTTTGTTATGTGATGAGGGATTTATTAATACTAGATGGCGATGCAGTAAGTTTGGATTAGTAGATGAAGAAAGAAGTGCATCATGGGAGTTGTCTTATAAAGGCACAAGATTAAGTTTAGTGTAAATGTTAGAGATGACTCCACTTATCAAAATGTATAGCCTGGATATTAGCCAATTCAACGAGTTCTATTACATCCATATTGACACTGGTGACGTTTAAAATTTACAACCTTTACAAGACAACAGCGATAGGAGTGCAGTGCAGTGAGTTAGTTGGCAGTGTTATTATATTATCTCGCAACACTCATGCAGAGACAAACCTGACGCGCTTGGTTCAAAATCCGTAGTTGGTCCAATCACTACCACGTCCTTGTGCTCAACATCGCAGTCTAGAGGGTCTCCTCGTCTAAATGATGCATCAGTGAAAAACATACAACATTGAGAGAAGAAATTAAAAAAAAGGAGACAAAAACATAGACAATAGAATTATATGCCTATATTCTGTGAAGAGTATAGTCACTGAGTGGGTTTACATTCTCATAAAGTTAAATATTTGGTGTGAATTTTGCTTTTTTTTTTTCATCTCCAAGCACTAATTGCAAGCAATCCTTTTCTAAGTATCACAAGGACTTGAAAACTAGACACTGTAGATAGATCTAGCAACATATGCATAACGCATACACACATGGATTGATTTGACAGCAACAGCTTTTAAACTGACCTTCCCGGATCTACTATTTTGTGAACTTTTCCACCAGAATGCGTATTACTTTCATGATCGGTAGACAAGATATAAACTTCACCTAGGAGTGTTAATTCAGAGAAATATAACATACATAATTAATATGTAATTAATAATACGCATATGTATCTTTGTCTTATTTTATGATTAATAATTCTACAGCAACTAATTTCCCATTTCCTATATTTCTTATTTATAAGTTTACAAACACTTTTCTATATAAGGTGGCCCCCCTAGTGCTGAAGTTCTTCCGTGATGCAAATTGTTGTACAGTATTCTGTTTTACATCGCTGACATTGTTGTTATCCAACAGTAAAAAATACTGAATTGACTACACAAACATTACTCGCACAATTTTGACATCACAGAAGTGGTTCTTAGCTACATGTCATCTGGGAAGGTGTAGTAAATGATGATTACTAATATGCAAATGAGCTCTTAAATAAACATACCTGATTCATCCTCGCCAAAAGATAATATTTTCCCGGGGAATGTTCCAATTAAACCGTTGTTGCATACGCTATTATCTCCCAAACATATATCAAAGTTGTTCCACTCTCCAGGTATTTTTGTCTTCGATTAACTTAAATAATCGACTGAAAACATGAAAAGTAGGGTACACAGAAATTCTTCTGCACATCAAAACATAAATATTTAAAAAAAAATACGCTAATTCTCTGTTTAATTAGCCAATCAAAGTGATTCTTACATACTGCTTCATTTGTACATATCTGCCTAATCTTGCATGTGCACTTCTAGATATTTTGGATTATAAAAATGTTAAAAAATTATGAAAAAACTCTACCATTTCCATTTTTATCATAAAACTATTACCGTATATATTTCGAGTGATTCTCATTATCTTTAATCACACCCAACTTTCAAACTTTAAGAGTCAACACATATGGCATTCTACAATGCAAAATACACCATTTTTCGCTCTAAATAAATTGTAAAAATGCAGAAAATTATAATCGGCTAAGATGTTTTTCAGTCAACTTGAAATCCACATGTCATAAATATCAGTATAAGAAGTTTTGTCATCCACGTCTATCTTTTCCCATGATGCAACATGAAAAATGATGAAAACAAAGTTGCACATAAATTGTGTTCATATTTGAGATACTAG